CCATTTGTCTTGAGAACTGATTGACCAGAGTTCTTCTGCAATCAAATCTCGTAAACTTGGCGGCCATTTTCAAATGCTGCCAGGTATTTATTTGGACAGGTTTTTCAGAGGTCACACAAAAAATGTATGACTAGAATGAAATAGGATTTTTGACTTTTTTTCTTTCTTTTTTTTTTTTAAAGGAGTTGCCCACAGATTTAAATTTAGGATTTATAAAGTAAAGTGTGTTATGTAAGTATAACGCCTCGCCTGCGTCAGCTAGCTTGCAGGCTTTGCTCCATTTAGCAGGTTGGTTAGTTAATGGTAATAGCTTTGCTATCAGTTTGTTATAAGTAGTGCCAAACATTGTGATTCAAATGGCCATTTAATGGGAATAAAATGCTATTATCAGCAGCCTGGTGACTTCATAATCTTCAACACACACTGAGAGATGATGGGCATTTACTCTGTAATGAGCACCGGCTAAACAGAAAATCTGTCATGCATTCTGTCTCACCTCATTTAACAAATGTATGCCTGGCGCTGTGGCATCTTTCAAGCCTGAGATCCTGCAAGTCACAATTAAAGAATACAGTGTTTGTTTTCATCTTTTGGACCGTTTCACATCTCGTGGCAGCTTTGTGGTTCGAGGTATGAAGCCTTTTGGCTAAAGATAATCTATAAATAAAATACAACTGAGTGCTACAGCCTGGTCAGTATCACCAGAGAAACACCTGATGATAATATCCTTATAGTGAACTGCTTTGGCAGATTTTTAATGCTCAGATAAGATGGTGCTGATGTTTATCCATTAACTGCAGTTGAAGTACTTGCTGTCCTGAATTTTAATGTTTATTCTGTATCAGCTCATTGGGCGGCTGCTGATTTACTAGTGAGAATAGAAAAAAAGTCTGATTTATATTCAGTTATATTCTGCCAGACCTCTTATTACATTACCTTATCAGCCTATCGTGAAGCTGCCAAAGGCCGTGTTTGATAATGAACATTTTCTAGGTGTGACCGAGCATTGACACCGTGATTAGCCACTTTCCCAAAAAAGCCTGACTTAATGACATTGTTTTTTTGCGTTTTACACACAGGAATTTATATCATCGCATGGAAAAAATCAAAAATATTTCAAATAAAAATACACTGGATACACTTTTAAATGCACAGAGGTTAAAGAACAGCTGTCTGGAATTACAGAAAGCTTCTGGGAAGATGTCAAAGTGAAACATGAGAAGTCCCAAAGTTATTTCCACTTGGTTTGTAGAATACAGTCAGAAGAGGATTGAACAATAATTAACCAGGTTTCCAAATACCAAAAAGGTAACTGCACTGATTTGGGGGGAAAAAGAAAAGCTCATTGTAGAATAAATTTTCCACCCTGATGTCAAACCGTCTTGAACAACATTTATAAAAGACCTAAAAGAAACAATCTTAATAACTGATTTTAGTGTTGGATTTGTCATATCCTTTTGAAGTGTCAATATTAACTAAAAAATTGTATAGAATAGAAGTTTGAATCTGTGATCTTTCAAAGCTTTTTGTTCTTCAGCTGGCCAGAGTCTCTCTTTTAAGAATGTTCCAGATTGTTGAATTGGCCACTCCAAAAGCCTCTGGTATCAATCTGACAGGTTTATTTTGGTTTTTCAGCATAATGGTCTCCCCCCCAAACTCTTTAAGTCACATATTTAAAGAGTGAAAAGCTGCAAAATATAATTTCAACACTTTTATTCAACTTCACATATTACATCTGCATCATGTCAGGAAACAGCAAGAGAACAGGTGTCACCTGGCCAGGAAATTGTGTATGAGCTCATTCTCAAATTACTTTTGACCTTCTGGAAAAAGAAAGCATGTGTGTAATTAGTAAACCTCACAAAGTAAAGCTGAATGCCTGCATGTCAATCACTTCTTGATTGTTTCGGTTAGTACAGAGGCAAAACTACAAAAGCTGCATCTTTTTCGTGCAAGATATCGAGTTTAATCAGGTACGTGCACGGTCGAAGTACAATGAATAAAGAAACCCAAGCGCTGCTGGCTCTGTTTTCACTTACCTCACTCTAATAAGCCTGTTTGAGCTTTCAGCTCGTTTTTTTTTTTTTTTTAAGAAATATGATGTTCATCACACCAACACAGATTCACTTGCTCACCAAGTGGTTCAAGAGAAGGCCGGTACATCTCTAATGCCTATAGATTAAGCAGCAGGTAGGAAAAATTAAGCTACAAAAAGAGATTTAAATACTTTACCTTGTTGCTATTTACAGTGAAACAAAAATTTTAAAAAAAAAAACCAAAACAATTCCACTAACCAGGTAATCTAAATGTTTACAGCTCAAAAGCTTTATGTGCATCTCCTGAAGTGGAGTAAAGTTTTAACAATGGCAATAAAAAACTGGGGGAAAAGGAACACAAGTTCAGAAAGTGGCTCACCTTTTCACTAATCCTCTTAAATTTGGGTCATAATAAATTTCAGTCAAGTAAATAATTGTTATTCTTATCATGTTTAAAATGTTTATGCACACAGAGCACAAAATCCCACACTTTAAGTTTTACTTCCTTATGTCAGTTTGTTTCTGGGTCATGGATTTTATTTTCCTCACCTGTGAGGTTTTATGTTTAACCACAGATTTGTTCTCGTCCTGAGATTTATTTTTTAAATAAATGCATCTCAAAGACCAAGATACAAAAATATATTTTATTTAGTTTTTGTATACAAACAAATGAGACATACGTAAAAAGAAAAAAAAAAAAGATAATATTGGACCATCTGGTCGATCACTTGAAGCGAATGATCTCCTGAGTGGCCAGTCTGATGAGCTGGTTGAAGTCAAACTGGATGTACTTCCTCCAGTAACGTCTGTCTTTGCCGTAGGTTTGAGCCGGATAACACGGACTGCCTGAAACACAGGTTGGATTTATTTAGCTTTAGTTTATAGAAGTTTTTACTTCAACATCCACAGCTGATGGAGGAAAGGCCAAACAGTGAAATTCCTACATGAAAAATAAAGCACACTGTCAACTTCTCCTTAGTTAAATATCAATGCAAAATTACTATTATTAGCTGTGTTTAACTGTGGCTAATAACAAAAGGAAGGCTAAAGATCAAGGTCTATAATTCTGGGAGGTGCTGGATAAAATTTATTTTAATAGAAAAGTGCCACCTCAACCTTTTTTCAGGTTGACAGCCAAAGAATCCTAAAAGAGTAAAATAAAATTCAAATGTAGGAAAATGTGAGAGCGATTATCTCTGTATCTGCGGTTATTACACTCTTGCATAAATCCAGATTCAGGTTAGTGTCAGACTGTACCGCTGAAACCCTAATGGAGGTCTTCATAACTTTCTCGTCTACATCACTGCACTGGTGTCCTCTGTGTTCAGAAGTCAGCTGCCAGAGATCTTACCTGCATCAAGTCCTGGCAGCACAACACCCCCTGGTCAGATCCTATATCTTCTTTAAAAATCCTTCTCCTCACTTATCAGAACCTCTCCTCCCCTACACCCCATCCCAGACTCTGAATTCTCCTGATAAAGTCGTGCTCTCGAGTCCCCACAGAAAGTCTTCAGTCCTTATGTGGGGACTGTTCCCCTCTGGGAATTGTAACGCCCAGCTTTGGAAATTTCAACAAGTAGTTAAAATATCACCTGTTCACGAGGTTTTTTGTCTAAAGACACCTTGGGTTCTTAAAAAGATATGTTATAAACATCATCATCATCATTATTATTAAAATCACTTAATGTTCTTTCTGAGAACTTATATAAATTAAAGATAAAAGATAAGTGTAAGGAGGGAGTTAGACTTTTGAAATAAAGAGTCCATTGGTTAGCTGAGAAGTGAACATGTGATTAGCTGAGCACAGTGAATCTCAAACTGTTTGGCACTTCCAACGCAAGTCATCTCCCGAGCCCCCAAACTTTTCAGCTCCTTATTTTCTTAGCTATTTATCCCAGTTTACAGTTGTAGTGAGGAGGGAGTCCATCCCAGTACAACATACAGCCTGAACACACTGACAGGTCAACACAAAGGCCTCCCAAAACCTTTTTTCTCTCAACTTAATTTTGTTCCATGCCTTGACAGATAATCTATAGCAACAATTTTCTGACGCTATCTAGCTTATGTTTGTACACTTTGAACTATTAAAATCTCAGCAAAACTGAAAAGTCCTAAATTAGCTCTCTAACGACCTCTAGAGGTTTAAAGGTTCACTGCTTTGGAGTTGATGTTCTGACAAACAAAAAATCTGTGACCAACTATTCACAGCAGACAGGCTTCAGCAGACTTTTTTAAGTTGGATAATTTGGTGCCATTTAAAAGGAGACATTCTGAATATGTGTAAAGGTGAATGTAAACATGCAAACACCTCCACATTTATTGTAAAGCATGAAGTACTTCAGTGAGAAGGGTTGGAGAGAAAATTGTTCTGGTCCAAAAAAAGAAAAAGAAAAAAAACCTACCTGCGCTTATGCAGGTAAATGTGTGTGCGCACGTGCGTCCTCACCTATGCCGTGAAAGATACGAGCGACAGCCCTTCCAGAAAACTTCTCGTCACTTCGGTTGGAGAGGAAACTTCTGATGTCGGCTCTGATTTGATCCTCCCAATCCAACAGCTAAAACATACAGAGGTAAGCCGAATCGTTCACAGACTTCACCTTAACTACAACTCCTGAAAAGTTTTCTACATTATTTGTCTTTGTAAAACCTTATATTTGTCGAGCTCCTCGAGATCAAAAGGTTTGAGAGCGTGGTCCCCGTCCCGCCTCTTATCAAAGTACTCGGACAGAAGGCTTTTTAACTGCAAACTGCGGCTCTCATCCAGATCGTCTACACAGGACAGTACGCTGCAGTAGGCAACACTGAAGCAAAGCGAACACAAAGTCAAACACTAAAGCAGACAGAGGGTAACTGCACACAAAAAGACAAACGGTCAAAGCTAGCCAATACTGGAAAACAGGCTAGATCTTATTTAAGAATATGTTTGTTTTAATTAGTGGATAATCCATAAAATCAGTGGATAATTAAAAAAAGCTTAGTGTACCTCTTGAAGGCTTTAAAACAGGCCGTCAGCTGGTACAGCTGCGTTCTCTCTTGGTCCTGCACTCGTTTATGGAGGAACTGACAGACTCTGTCCATCTCCTCATCGCTCAGGTCGCCATAGGAACGAAAGTAGAACGAAGGACTGGAGAATTCGACGAGGACGCCGCTACGTCCCCCAGCTGAAACAAAAGCATTTTTGACTGATTATTTCTAATGCAGCCCAGCAGGAAAAGAAGGAAGACATCCAACAAGCATCTCACAGAACTAAATTTAGACTCAAGGTTAGACCCTAAAACCACAGAGGGACGATCAGACTGTGACACTGACGTTAGAAGGCAACAGGGCATCCCTACATGTATAAGCAAGTTGTACTTTTTAAGGGCTTTTAGTAAAACTTTAAATTAAACTACACTTGCAAGGAAAATACATATAAAAGGTTAAATTGTCTTAAGAACACAAACTGATGTCAGGAAAATTGTAGGTACAGTAAAAGTATCTATGGAAGCCCGTTTCCGCCTCTCATACTCTCAGTGATGTGAGACCCTTCTGAACCAAATTCAAGGCAGCTTAATACTTTTTAAGGTCTTCTATTACTAAATGTATGTTAAAGACATTTTCAGACTTTATAAGGGCTGAGATCCTCCCTGCAACTACCTGTGATCAAGAGTAAACTGGTCCATTTTCCATGGGGACTGCCTGGATTCTTATTGCTGTGAATGTGTGGATACTAAATCGATACTAAATGAAAAGAAGGAAACGTGAACTCATGAACAAACCTCTATCGGTGCTCCACTGCAGCTGCCTGAGTCCTCTCTTCACGAGAGGGAGCTGCCATCCCATAGTGTCCGCGACCTCGATAACATCAAACTCAAGCTGGTCGCACTGCTCCACCCGCTCGCCCGCCATCCGCCGCCTGGCCAACACCACAGCGATCGGAGGACAACTGCAGAGAAGAGACAAGTTTAAGACGTCTTAACAGTAACATTACATTTACAGACGCACACGTTCATGTGCCCGGCCAACATTGTCATACATTTTAGTGATTTTCTGGAGCTGCCTTGGCCCATCGTAACAGCTGACTTTACACACAGACAGAGTGGGGTGGAGCAGCTCCACGAAGCGCTGTGAGTGCAGCTCCAGATAGCAGAGCAGTGTTTCCACACCTGGAAAAACATAAAAAATGTTAAAATTTCAAAAACACTGGGAGTAGTTGTTGTTTGCTGGATTTTAGAGTGTTTCTTGGGAAATTTAGGATGAATTTCTGTAATCTACACGATTTGTTTTGTTCTGTTAAACCAGATAAGAATAAATACGAGTGATTTTATTAGATGGTTTTCTTATTTTAATGCATCGTTTGCTCCAGTTTTGTATCATTTTATTTGTTTTCTAAATTCATCTGTTTGAGCGTAATCTGGTCATCAAACTGTTTTGGCTTTAGCTTTTTGGACTTTTGCTTTCAGTGGATTCAGCGCACGAGCCACTAAACAACCTGCGTGGATGAGATCAGGCTTAAATTCTGTCTTAACCTCGAGTCAGAAATAATTTTTAAAATGTTTAAAGATTAATGCTAATGTGCTTTCCGTGTACAAATCAGCCTACACCTGTTCCTTTTACTGTCTTATCAATCAATGTGATTTTTTAGTGTACGTTTCCACTCACCTTCCTCCGTGATGTCCAGAGCCTCGATGGTCTCTTGGATGGGAATCGCTCTTTCGTGCGTGTGACAGACTCGCTCCCTGGGCCAATCACTGCGCTCCTCTTCTTGGTCCCTCTCCCGGTTATCTCTCTGGTCTTCTGTCTGTTTTTTCATCTCATCCTCATTTCGTTTCTCTCTTTTATCGTCGTCTTCTCGGGTGGCTAGCCCAGCAGAACTGACATCTGATTCCTTGCAGTAAAAAAAGTCATGTTACCAAAAAAATTCATGAACTAAAAAAGTAATTATGAAATTAGCATTTAATTATTTTTTTGTTTAAATTTCTCTATTGTGTGAAGCGATCAGAGATCAGTTCCCACTTTACTTACAGGTGCAGCAGCAGGTTGTGATTCATCTTTGTCTGACATGTCTTGCTGAGCAGAAGAATTCATGCTGCTCTCCTGATCGCACACATCCATCACCTCCAACAGCTCAGAGTCTTCAACATCCTACACAAACAAACAGACACACAGTCCTTTACTTCATAGAAAGTTTGACATTCAAAGACATTTCTTCAGGCTAAAACACTCTCACAGACAGACAAAGGAGGAGTTACCTTGAAGAGTTCCTGCTGTTTCTGGTGTATCTGTTTACATTTGCATGCTGGGAAAACTTTCTGCACCAGTCTTTTCACCGTATAGTAGTCCACTGTGTCTGCGTAGATATGGCGACGGAGCTCATGGAGGTCTCCACCCTACAATCACACACAGAATGACATGATATTATTCATATATGGAATATACACTCACTGGTCACTTTATTAGGTTCACCTGTACAGCTCCTTGTCTCCTTGGATCCTGCTGAAGTTCAAACAGAGCACCAGAATGGAGAAGAAAGATGATTGGTGGTGATGTAACAGTGTGATATTTACATGGCACATTTTGGACCTCTCATTACCCACTGAGAATCACTTAAACACTACAGTCTACATGAGTATTGTTGCTGACCATGTCCATCCCTTTATGACCGGGAGCATCTCAACTCCTCCATCTTACACTTACACAAACATTTTATTAAAAAACTGATTGTGAATATGACAGAAGGTTCATGATTCCACTTTCTCTCTGGTTTATTTGGGGTCATGTTATCTACACCGACACAGAACCCCCTCAAAGATCATTATTTATAAAGTATTTAAAACGGGATTTGTTTGAAATTGCCAGCTGACATTGAGGAAGTTCATTTCTTAAGCACAGTCAACCATCACAACAAATGTGTACAAAGACCTATTTTTTCCAAGAACTGCAATCCCACCGCATCAGTACTGCTTTCTGTAACTACATCATTAACGTCAGTAATATCACAATTTTAAGACTCACCTCCGGGTCCAGGAAAAGGTGACAGTGAGCCGGCTCTCCATCTCTTCCTGCCCTCCCAATTTCCTGAACGTAACTCTCAAAGCTCTGTCAACAAGAAAAACAGGATAAGATGCCCCAAAACAGACTAAAAGAGAAAGTTAAAAAATATTTAATGTATTTTCAAGTCCAGTATGAGGAGACATGAGTCAGGATAGATCCGAGCACTGCCTACCTTAGGCATGTTGTAATGGATGATACCACGAACGTCAGATTTATCCAGGCCCATGCCAAACGCCACTGTGGCCACCACGATCCTGAGCTCTCCGCACATGAAGTTGTTCTGCACGCGTCGCCGCTCTGACCCCGACAGGCCGGCGTGGTACGATTCAGCCTGCCATTTCAGTGGTTTACGAATCTTCTTCCGAGCTAAATACATAAAGGACAAAACCACAAAGTCATGGAGACTGAAGGAAATAGACTTCACCTGTAATTAATGTTATCTTAAGTTATGTACCACAGACTTCCATAACACAGCATAGGCTCCATATACATATTTCACTTGTTCCCCCGCCATATCAACTCTCTCCTTACTAGTTTTTAATTAATCACATTTTTAAAAAACACTTACCCAGTTCTTTCTTTCTCTGCCCTACAGGGTTGTTTTCTGACCGACTGCTGCTGCTGCTCTTCTTGTTTTCTTTTAACAGCACCCCTTGAAGGCAGGTTCGGAGAAGTGCCGCCACACGCACCGTCTCCTCTCTTCTGGTGCAGTAGACGATGATCGAGTCAAGACAACCAAACCGATCACCTTTCAACAAGGAGACTAAAGCCTAAGACGACAATTGCACACATTGCAAACTCATTTTAGTAAGAGAAGGACTCTTGGATCTAGAACTACTAAAAATCCACAAATAAATGTCAGTCAGGACACAAAAACACTCATTTGACCTGATCCTTTTCTCTATCCGTGGACACAGAAAGATTCAGGTTTGGAGGCACAGCTGCAGATCTGACAGCAATGCCGGCTTGATCACTGATTTCCAGATGTTTAGCGATGTCCAGAGCAGTGGACAGAGTGGCTGTAGCTGTGAGTCCTAGCAAGCATCGTACTCCCAGACGCTCTCGTAACACCTACAAACAAGCACTGTATTAAAGACTTAAAGATATCATCAAGAGTGATACCACTGTTCTAAAGAAGCCAGTTTACATAAATTTGACAGAGCTTTTTACTTGTTTCAAACTGGAAAGTTCAACACAGTGAGTTGTTTGAACAAGTAGCAGGATTAACATCACTTGTGTTAGAGTACGATGATCTCCAGGAATCATCAACTCACCTTGCAGAGTCTTAGGTAGCAGGGTCTGAAGTTGTGGGACCACTCTGAGACACAATGAGCTTCATCTATACAGGCGAAGGCCACAGGAGGGAGTTCCTGAGCAGAAGGAAGACACCCTGAACCTGAACCTCCTCCCCCAACAAGGGCCTCTGGAGAGAGCAGCAGCAGACATACCTGGCCTGACTTCACCTGGAAAAATAGCAGGAGGCGAATACAAGGTATGAACGGAAAATAATCAATGATATAGTCAAGTTTCAAATAAGCATAGAAGTCAATTAATTCACGCCTTAAATTATAAGATAAGGTGCTGTAGAAGTCGGCAAATCACAAGCAGAAAGATGAGGAGGGACAAACTACACATTTTGACTTTTTGTGGAGAAAACAGCTGTTACTTCTGTGCAGAGGTGTGCGAGCATATGGCGCTGGGACCACATCTGCACACACCTTGATCTGACTGATTCGAAATTCCAACTCTATCTGATTTAAGACCATATATGGATATTTGTATTCACACTGGAATAAAAAAAGGCATCTGAGTGTTGCAGAATACGTATTGCAGAAAAATAAAATAAAACTCAATTCAGCACCAAATACTTATCTGATCCTGTTTTTATTTTCTCACTTTCAACATCTGTTTGTAAGATTAACTATGTGAAACCATTTATTTGCATCCCAGCCTACGTAGTAGCCAAAGTTGAAGTAAGACTTGCATCCAATGTGATTGGATTTATCGATCCAATAAGAGGCTGTTCATTTTTCAGTGACATTAACAAAGAAGCTGTAATCAACGTGACTCACTCTCACTCATATCTGATTCTTGATGCACTTCCTTTTACCTTTTCTATCGCTGCTTCTCGCTGTTTCATTGTCATATTGGAGTGGATACAGGCCGCCTTCAGCTTGGCTGGCAGGCCAGACAGCTGCACAAAAACACAAAAAGATATTCACCAAATACATTCTCAACTCTATCACTGGTTT